GGTGTCAATTAGAAGTTTAAAAGTATTCGTAGCGTCATTGATATAATATAAGTTTTTAGAGCTCATTGTGTGGAAGGGGCTTACAGGAATTTCTGTTCGGGGAAATTCACATTTGGATCGAAATTGTCCAAATTGAGGGCTTGGATTTGTTGTTGTACATTCGTAATATCGGTTGAAAGATTCGTATGTACCGGGGGATGGTTCTGATTGGGTAGCGAAAGAAAATCCTGATAATTTTCTGTATCATGTGTATTATTAATATAATCAGATGTGTCATTGGTATATTCGTAAAAATAGTTAGTTTGAAGATCATTTTCTGTATAATAATCTTCATAATATTCTACAAGATCGTCAGGGTATTCATTAAAGACATGGGCTCTTTGCTGAAAATTTTCGAAATTTGGATTTCTCTGAATAACAGAGGGGCGATTCTGCGGTTGATTTTGAGAAGGGAAATTCGATCTCTGTGGGTTTAAATTTTGTTGATTAGAAGAGTATTGGTTTTGATTACTTGGGTAATTTTGTGATCTAGTATTATATTGATTGGATTGGTTTTGATTATTTTGGTAGTTTTGTGGTCTACCGCTATATTGATTTTGATAAGAAGAAAAACGTGATGAGCGACATTCGCTACTTAAATGGCCAATACGACCACAACTTGTACATTTAGAAAAATTAGATGAGGTTCTTCTCATCGGTTGGGAAGGTTTTGGATTATTTTGGCTATCTTTATTTGATTTTTGAGATTCGAAATACGATAACTGAAGTTCGCGTCGGATACGGTTACTGGCTTCAATAAGGTCTTTAGGGTTACTGGCCCTAATTATTTGTCCTAAGCGGGGTTCTAGTCCAGTTAAGAGAGTATTCAAAGCCATAGAGTCAATTAACGTGCATTGGGCGGTTTTTTGGTCTTGTGTTAGGCCTGATTTTTGAATTGAGGCGTGCATGTTTGCATTTAGAACTTGTAATCTGTTGAAAAAGGTTAAAGGTGATTCGTTCGATAACTGTCGAAGTCTTTGTAGGTCGTGAATTAAGGAAGTGAGATCTCTACTATCTCCGAAATGAAGGTTTAATAAATTTTTTATGTCTGTGTATGAAGTTGGTTTTCTAGAGTTTATTAATTGAGCTGCTTTACCTTTTAGTTTATTTTTAATGTGAATCGTTAATAAAATACGTTGGTCTCCCGAAGACATTTTAATCGCGCAATCACATGCGTCTAAGAATGTGGGAAGAGAGATTGGGTCTCCTTCAAACTCATGAATTATGGAGAATATTTCTGAAAGTTAAATATGAACAAGTAAAATATGGTAAAATCAAGTAAAATGTGGTAAAATAAAGTAAAATATAGTAAAATATCGGTGAAAATATAATATGAAATCAATAAAATGTGTAAATAAGAATGATAAAATAATAAAAGTATGCAATAAAAAGGTATTTCCTTATTAGATAATCAACTTGGTTTGACTTTCTGTATAGTCAAGATTATAAATTGAAAAAATTATGATGTATGTACGGTATGTTTGCAAATATAAAAATAGTAAAAACGAGATGATTCAATAACTTACATTAACAGAAACATCGAGTATGTCTTGTTTTCTAACGGGATCTGCTATCAGGGGCTTCACCAGGTGTTCCTTCCGTAGTATCCAGTTGAATGAGGACGGCTCTAGGTTCTTTTTCCGTTGAGGGATAGGGATCCGCCGTTGCTAGTGAGTTTCCTTGTTCTAACAACGTTAACCGGATCCTACTGACTGCGCCAAATGTTAGATCACTAACTTCTTAATTGACTTTTTAAAAAAGATTTATTTCACAAATAAAAGTTACACTTAGTTATACGATAAAATAAAGCAAATAAAATTATATAATGCAAATGTTATTAGTAAGAAACTTATATGACGAGTGAAAAATATAATGTTAGTCCTGAATTTATAATCTATCTACAAAATGTGGTGTCGGCATTTCCCACGAAAGGCCAGCTTTGGTCAGAGTTTGATGTCCGTGCATAGTCAGCTATCTCTATGGGAACGCTTGCTAAAAGAATGATGAAATAGGAACTGATATTGCGAAACCAAAGTGTCGGTAACCCTTGAGTGGTTCAAGGTGACTATTTTCACATATAACATATATATATATATATATATATATATATATATATACAATAGCACTAAAGGCCTTAGAGGCCCATGGCTTAAAAAATGTTGTTCTTTCTTCATTTTCGCTTTCCTTTATGTACTGAGATCTTCTCTGGCTCGATATGTGACTTTTCTCCATTCCTTCTTGTTATTCATTTTTCTTCCAATGTTTCCAATTTCTTCCATATCTTTTTCTACCTCCTGATTCCATCTATTTTTTGGACTTCCTTTTCTCTTTTTTGAAGGTATGGTGTAGTTTAGTACCCTTTTTGGAGTCCTCGTGTTCGGCATCCTTTCTAGGTGACCTCGCCATCTTAGTCTCTGTGCCTTTATGACTCCTATTATGTTAGGTTGATTATATCATTTCTTTAACTCATCCTTTGATCTTCTCATCCATAAACCATCCCTTATTATTCCTTCATATATCTTTCTCAAGATTTTCCTTTCCCATATTTCCAGTAAATTTTGTTCATTTTTTGTCATTGTCCACGTCTCAGTACAGTATGTTGCTATTGGTTGTATAGTTGTTTTGTATAACTGTATTTTTGCCTTTCTTGATAAAAACTTGCTTTTCAACATTCTACTAAGAGCATGTACACTTGTATTGCCTGCCATTATTCTAGCTTGTATTTCTTCTTTAAGATATTATTGTACCTAGGTATGTAAATCTTTCTACCATTTCGAATTCGTATGATGATCTTTCTTCTACTTCTACTTTAAACATTTGTTCATCCCTAAACTGATCATCTGTCCACTGCATACATTTTGTTTTAGTTTCATTTATGTAAAGTCCCATTTTCTTTGCTGCCTTTACTATTCTCTGTACTATCTCCTGTAGCTCTTTTTTTCCTCTTGCCAGCATATCATCCACAAATACCAAAACTTGGTGTCTTTTATGATATAGGAGTCCTTGTCTATTAATTTTCGCTTCTCGCATTAGTGATGACACAGGATCGCCCTGCCTTAATACTTCGTTTACTATAAATTTGTCCGATGTATGATTGTTTACTTTGACTCTGTTTTCTGTATTCTCTAAAGTAAGATGTATCATGTTACGCAACTTTCTGCTAACTCCCAGTTCCTCAAGGGTCTCTTTTAATTCCTTTCTTTTTATTCTTTCGTATTCTTGCTGGAAGTCGATGAATAGCGCTATCGTTGGTAAGTTGTGTTCATAGCTTTCTGCTTGTAATTCTCTGATTATGAATACTTGGTCCGTTGTGCTTCTCCCTCGTCTAAATCCACACTGGTATTCGCCTATTATATTTTCAGCTTCTTTTTCCAGCTTAGCTTTTATGGATTTTGATAGGATTTTATATATGGTATTTAGTAACGCTACTCCTCTGTAATTACTGCATTCTGTTTTGTCTCCTTTTTTGTGTAATGGACAAATAATAGCTTCCTTCCAATCTACTGGTATTCGTTCGTTTATCCATATCTCTTTTATGATCTTGCATATCCAATTATTTAGTAGTTTTCCACCATATTTCATCATCTCTGCTGTTATGTTATTGATTCCAGGGATTTGTTGTTTTTCAGATTTTTTATGATTTCCTCGATTTGTTTTTTGCTGGGTAAATTATCTTCTATGTCGTCTATGTGTTCGATTCTTGCTTCTGCTTCCATATGTTCTCTTTGGTTTGACTTATTATTGCCATTTAGTAATTCATCAAAATACTCTTTCCATCTTTCGATTATTTCTGCTTCTCCGCTTTTATTATTTCCTGCTTTTGTTTTTAACGAATATGGGTTTTTGTTGGAAACCTTTTTTTTTTTCATTTCTAGCACCTTGATATAGGTTTTTTATTTTTTTTTCTGTAATTCTCTTCTATTTCTTTTAGCTTATTTTCTATGTGTTTTCTCTTCTTTCTCTCAGCACCCTCTTTACTTTTTGTCTCTGCTTCCTATATCTATTCTTTGTCTCTATTGTTTCTTTCGTGATCATTTCCATCCTTAATGATTTTCTTAGTTCTATTTCTTTTTGGCACTTTAAGTCGAACCAGTCTGTCATCTTTTTATTCTCTTGTTTATTACATTCTTTTGCTGCTTTGTTCATTATTTGCTTTATGCATTATTATATAAAACGATCTCACCATTCCAAGAGAAATTTTAAAAAATCAACCCCGATCGGCCAAACAACTACTGCAACTAGTAATAACAGATGATAACAGTGAAAATTGAACTAATGCAGGCGACAGTGTTGCCATATATAAGTTGCATACAATCAGACGATATAGAAATCATGCAAATGTGATTGTGGTTTTCGAATTTTACGAATTTTTTAAAAACTATTTGGGCAACTGTGAACTTGTTTGCAATTGTGTTGTTTGTTTAAAAATATGTTACAATCATAGATTATGTTATATATTTTTTTATCATAATTTAAAAGAAAATTTATATTACAATGCGATAATTACGTTACAAGTGACAACGATGGTCGGCGTAGGCCCGATCGTCTGGTGCCTAAAACGCAAGCATAAACACGACAATATAAATCGTTTTCCGGTAAGCTGCTTAACTTCAAACGTTTTTTGTACGGGGATCTTATGTGAGCTGGGTCGACCAGTTCCCATCGGGCCTATTAATGATATTTAAAAATACTGAATACGATTTGATGCTTTCTGTGGTAATATAATAACATAGTTGTTTTAACGGACGCTAATGACTCGAGAATATCTTGACTCGGCTAAAACAGGCAGCTCTCCATTCACCAGAACTGCCATTTGGTTTTTTTAACTATTTAGCTATTTTGCAAACCATTTACTTACTCTGTTTATATTTAGATAAGCTTGTTCAGAATTAAGAGAATCATGTTCTAATCACGAATAGGTATAATACATTATTTTTATTTCTTTTTATTTTACTTTTTAGATATGCCGTATGCATTCTGTACCCGAGAGAAAACCCCTTGGTGTGAATATGCCGAAAATGCACAATTTGGACCTACTACTAAAATGTTACAAGAGGTAATTTATTATTCTAACTTAAACAACAGATATTTATAACTCATTATTACGACTTAAAATAATTATTACATTATTGATTATTGCTATATTATTCATTTTATCTTAATATATTAGATGAGAATTATTTGGTGTCTAATGGATAAATCGCGTTTATCCATTAGTTTTTGAGCATACGTTTTCATAACATTTTTATTGCTGTCTTTTAAAATTCGTTAATATGGAAGTACTATGTGGCGATAATAATAATGGCAAAGAAAAATATTTGGAAAACAAGATTCAGAAAGAAGCAGATAAGATAAAGATTGCCATAATGATAGCCAACATTCGTAAAGGATAAGCACATCAAGAAGAATGTGGCGATCCAAGTAAAAGCCAAGCTAACATGTAAAACTTCAAAGCAAATAAAAATAAGTAACAGTAAGTATGTGTATCAAATATAAGTAAAAGTATGTAGAGGTTTATATCTATAAATATATAGAAGCAGAAAGACAGTTAAACCATAGGTAAATACTGAGAAACTACAAAAGATTGTCGTGAAAGAAAAAAAAATGAAGCCCAGAACAACCTGATAGGGCAAAACATCTGAAAGCTAGTAAGAATAATGATAAATTATAGAAATTACGGAACATATCTATTTAGACATAAATTTTATTTTGTTAAATTTAGGTACTTGGGTAGTGGAAGAGTTGATAAGCCTGTTATGATTTATGCAATTATTTATCTATGGATTGCTGTAATGGCTGTCCTATTGTAATATCTCTCTCTTGTCATGCAGCAATAAAATGGTAAACACGTCCCTTATATAATTGAAGTTTTTATGTACTTAAATACTAAATGATAGAGTCAGGAATATGGTCAATAACCATTGATTAGCCACAACTTCATACAATATCAACATAATTATATATATATATATATATATATAATATATATATATATATATATATATATATATATATATATATACATATTATATATATATATACATACATATATATATAATATATATATATATATATATATATATATATATATATATATATATATATATATATATATATATATATATATATATATATATATATATATATAGGGTAGACTGGGGCTAGTTGTGCCACTTTGGACAAAATAATTTTTAACATTTTTTTCGTAATTTTTAGGGCTGTTAGATTACTTTAATGAGGTACTATTTTTAATTGGGAATCATTATTTGGGAACATCAGCAATTTTTAAGCAATACCTTACAGTATGTAAATAGTTTTACAAAATGCACATATTGTCACAATTTGCCCCAATATGGGGTAAGTTGTAACGAACTTGGGGCAGGTTGTGACAGTAAATATTTTTAAATATAATAAACTTTAGTTGGAGAATAATAACAAAGTTTCCATAATAAATTTATTTTATAGTTAAGTATAGATACATAAATGTTTGATAAATGTTTATGTAAGAAACAAATGTGTAGAAAAACATCTAGTGAATTTAAAGTAAAATAAAAAACTTAATCGCTATCGTCAATTTGTGCTGATTCTACTTGTAGTTCTGAAGAGTGGCAGTTTATACAAACATAATAAAGATCATCTTTTGTGCACTTTACATGAGCCCACCTCTTGCATTCCATACATTGCACCCAGTCTTCTCCTAACCTAGACTTTTTATATGGTCCCATACAAACTAAGCAAAAGTAATCTTCTTCCTCTTCTTCTGAGCTGTCTTCTCTTTTTCTTGTTGCGGTCTCTTTCTTTGGCGCTGCTTTTTTCTTAGGCAACAGTTGTTTTGAGTCAAATAATTTTTTCTTTATTTTATCCTCTTTGCACTTTATTGTTTCCTTCCTCTTTAACTCTTCACTGCGAATTGTCTCCTTGACAGGTGTGCTAGTCAAAATTGCAGATGTTAAGCTCTTGCGTTTTTTATTTTTTCGAGGACCAGCTTTTGGCAGAGGTCTTATATCCATAGGGCTGACAGGCAGAACTTCGGCATGGAATGATCCTGGTAGGTTGGCCTGCGATGATCCTTGTTGATATGGTCCTGGTTGATAGGTATGGGAGGGTCCTGGCTGGTTAGCATAATATGACGACGGTTCAGGTTCATCGAGATGCTGAAACTCTTTAAGCTGCCTAGCACTGGCTTCCTCATTACCATCTACGATGTCAATAGGCCTATTCAAAGGTCGGTCGGTCACTGAAGAACACAGAAAGTCTTCTTCATTAAAAATGTTTCTATTGAATTCCCATATTCCTGTAGAACGAAATCCTGCCTGAACATTTGTTGGTGTTACAGCTTTAGGTAATGCTGTTTTCACTATACTTGGGATGTCATAAATTGAGACTGTGTTTCCAGGATGAGATTTCATCCATCCACACATGGCGTCGTTTAAAAACTTCTTAAATGGACCAAAAACGGAAACATCCAGTGGTTGAAGTCTATTTGTTGTATGGGGAGGGAACGATAAGAGAGTAATACCGTGCTCTGTACAATAGTCAAGGACTTCGATATATAGGTGAGCACTGTGGTTGTCTAACAGAACTAAAACCGGTGATTTCTTTGAGCACCTTACTTTTTTTACAAAATGCTTCATAAAAAACAAAAAGTCCGGGCCTGTTATCCAGCCACTTGGGTTAGCAGTACCACAACAACCTACTGGCCCATCACGTACAAAATGCTCCTTGTAAAACTTACGTGGAAAAACGAACATAGGAGGAACTGAGTTACCCTCTGCGTTAATAGCAAGAACCATAGTAACATTGGTCCCCCTCTCAGCTGAAGTGACACCACCAACTCTTTTCTCGCCTTTCTTCGCTATGATTTTTACCGGTTTTTGGACAGTCCCAGTCCCTGTCTCGTCTATATTCCAAATATCATTAGCTGTAAAATGGTTTTGACTTAATACTAATTCGAGGTTATCAAAAAAGAGTCCGACATTGTGCTTGTTGAAACTTGTACTCCGACTTAAGCTGGTAGCCTCAGGAACACGAATAGACACATTATTGTTACGTTGCATGAACTTTGTAAACCAATCATTACTGGCGTGTTTTGTTGCTACCCAATTCTCAGGCACAAGAACTTTGTTCGCTATAGCAAATTCAAAAGCTAAACTTTTCATTTCTTTTGGGCTAATACCATAAAATATTTTCGCTGCCTGAACAGCATATTCACAGAGCTCTTCTTCTTGTTGTTGTGAAAATATCATTCGAGGTCTTTTGTAACCCATTTCTACCACTCCATCTGGATTGGTTTGTTGTTTTTTTATATATCTAAGTAAGGACATCCGGTTAACGCCATATTTTTCAGCTGCTTGCCTTAAACTACACGATCCAGACTTAACATCTAACGAAGCCGACTCGTAACTGTTTATATTACTCCGACCACGTTCCGTTTTCCTTTTATAATTTCTCACCATTATCTGTAACAAACCCATAAACATGCATTAAAATTAGTAGGGGCATGTTGTGACACTGTCACAATCTGCCCCAAGCCTTTCGTCACAACTAGCCCCACCGTACGCCATTTTACATAAAGCCACTTGCACAGACCTTTACACGTCGTATAGAAACCAAACTGTGTCTTACTAGAGAGAAATAAACAAACTATCTACTACAACTAGAATAAGTTTCTTACCTTGTGGTTTGAAAGTGAAATAACAATTCAAAGACAACAGCAAAATTTTACTTCGTTACAACGAAATGACATATAATTTTATAAAGCGGCAGAAACGCATAGCATCACAACCAAACTACACAAACAGACTGAGGACATGCGGACGTGGAATTCTGGGTAACCGGGCGATGCTGCTACCTATGGTTAGTCTATAAAACTATTTGTCACAACATGCCCCTGTCACAACTAGCCCCGATCTACCCTACATACATATATATATATATATATATATATATATATATATATATATATATATATATATATATATATATATTATATATATATATATATATATATATATATATATATATATATATATATATATATATGTATATATAAGCAAGGTTCCTACAGCTTCTGCAGCTTCTCGCATTTCGACCGCCATCGTTCTCTGTCCATCCATTCGTCTTCTTTGATGGCTCTATTTCCAATTAGGTGTCGTACATTTTCTTTCCAGGCAACTGAAGGTCTTCCCCTTCTTCTTCTTTGTTGTGGTATGTAATTTAAAGCTTTCTTTGGCCATCTATCTTCATTAATTCGCTTCACATGACCATACCACACTAGTTGTCTCGTTTCAATTCTGTCTACAATGGAATATACAGTATTTGTCCTTCTTCTAATATCTTCATTCCTGATATGATCTTTTTTGGATACACCACACGCTCTCCTTAGAAGATCCATTTCTACTACTTCTATTCTTTTTCTATCTTTTTTCGTGATCTGCCAAACTTCTGCTCCATAAGTCATAATAGGCTCTACTAAGGTTCGATAGATTGTCAATTTTGTTTGTCTTATATCTTTAGACCATAGTAGAGAGTTTAGAATGTTAACCGCTTTTTTTCCCTGCTGCGTCCTGTTTTCGATGTCTCTTTTGGTAGTGCCTTCTTTAGTCAACATAATTAAAAAAATTTAATAACAAATATAAGATATTTCTCCTAAGAAGCGAAAGAGGGAAAGAGTCATTATCAGCAGAAAATGATTTTCTGTAAAGATCAAGCAGGGAATCTGGTGGAAGAAGCTTCCATCTTCTTCCATCAAAAGAAGGAAAAAGTTAAATTTGGATGTGGGCTAAGACTAAAAGTTATTAAATATCTTAGGTTATTAAACTCTCATGTGAAAATAGAAAGAAAAAGGTACCGACAAAGTGGCCGGAGGCACTACTATGGAGGAATTGCACTGCTACTTGTAGTATATAAAATACTGAGCAATCTTATTAAGAAAAAGAATAACAAATATGAAAAGACCATCTTCTTCTTCACGTGCCATCTCCGCGACGGAGGTTGGCAATCATCATGGCTATTCTGATCTTAGATGCTGCTGGTCTGAATAGGTCAATTGATGTGCATCCGTACCATTCCCTCAAGTTAAGCAACTATGAGATTCTTCTTCTTCCTACACTTTTCTTGCCCTGGATTTTCCCTTGTATAATCAATTGAAGTAGGTTGTATCTCCCATTATGCATAACATGCCCCAGGTATTGCAGCTTTCGTGTCTTGATGGTTTCCAATACTTTTATTCTTTTGTCGATTCTTCTCATGACTTCGTTGTTTGTCCCATGCTCGGTCCATGATATCTTCAGGATTCTTCTATACACTCACATTTCAAATGCTTCCAACTTTTTAGCAGTCGACGCGTTAAGTGTCCATGCTTCCATACCATAAAGCAGAGTCGAGAAAATATAACACCTTGCCAGCCTAACTCCTAAGTCCAATTTTCCAATTTCTCTATTCGAACTTTGATTTCTTTGGAGTAATCGTTTGTGTGATTAATTATTGTGCCAAGATAGTGGTAGTTTTTAACTTGTTCTAAAGCACTACCGTTAATTGTCAGGCTTTCATCATTAGTTTGGGTTTTTGATATCCTCATAATTTGGTTTTCTTGGTTTTTATTGATAATCCAGAAGAGACCATAGTTGGAGTATACCTGGCCGGCTTCAGAGGAGACCGACCTAGGCAGACCAGATGTTCAGATTAAAGCAGTTACTACATAGAAATTATGAATACAACCTGACCATATATGTATTGTTTATAGATTGGCGAAATGGTACTGTAAGGCACGACAAATATGGTTTACATAAAATGATCAAAAATCTTAAGCTTATCGACTACACTATTTATTTTCGTTTTAGAAAATACCCTAAGGGAAGGTAATATCCATAGAAAATATAGATTACGTATTCTTAAACACTTTTAAAAAGGCCAAAAAACATATGAATTCAAATGTACAGAAAATTTTCCTTATCTGGTAGTAAACATCAATAATAAAAATGACCAATCGTGAGAAATCCAGAATAAATTCCACAAAGAAATCAGAAGTGAAGGATCGTTAAACATATTTAAAATCCAAAGTTTTTCAAGGAAAATTAAAGACATAGAACTGTTGTAAGACCAGTGATGCTGTATGGATACGAACCGTGGACTCTGAACAAAGTTCTAAAAAAGAGTATTTAATTATTGGAGAGAAAAATACTACACATGCTATATGGAACGATCAAAAAGTATAGAAGGTGGCAAAGAAGAGCAAATATCGAAATGACGGAAATGTGTAACAGCTATTCGATAATGGCTTAAATTTATTCTTAAATAATAACGTAGTTTGGTAATGTAAAGAAAATGCATCACACGAGAGTGCCAAAGATCGAAATAAGAATAGGAATGATGGTACCTAAAAGAAGAGTAAGTCCCAGAAGAGAATTGCTGTGAAGGAAGATTTAGGGAAGCTAAACGTTAGAAATTGTATTGATAGAGCACTCAATAATACAATATATTATATACTATATACTCTATTGACTGAACTCAGTACATGTTTTTACAAGTGTCTTTAGTTTTTATGAATGTATACGTGCATTCTCAGGATCGGATACAGACTAGAGACTCTAGAGAATAAACAAAATTTTATTCTGGACAGTAAAACTTCAATAATATGTACAACTAATAAATTTCCTATTTTATTATAGTTTTAAAAATATTTCAATATTAGTAATTCTTCGTCTTCTGAATATAAATGGTAAATTTTGAAAGTATTTTACGTTCCTCTTTTTGTTATCTAACCTTATTGCGACTATATGATTTAACTTATGGAAACTACTGAACAACCACATTTGTTAATTGTGACCAACTTGTTTATTCTTTTAGCTGGCTGTTATACACAACATGGTAATAATATCACCAATTTTGGAACGCGACGAGATTCATAGCGATTCTATTTGGAATACAGCTGTCGTTATCGATAATCATGGTGATTATTTAGGAAAACAACGAAAAAATCATATTCCACGGTCTGGAGATATAAACGAAGCAATTTATTGTACCGAAGGAAACTCAGGTCATCCTGTGTTTGAGGTAAGCATTGTTACATAACTTTGTATATACTTTTATTTAGGAGTTAATATTTTAATATGTTAATATCGTAATCATTAAGAGTTTGATCTGATAGTATTAAAAAAAGATAATTATAATACAATATAGATAATTATACACTCCTGTATAATTATCTCTTACAGCGGACGCCCCAGAAGAAATTATAGAAGAATTTTACAATGACCTTACTAATATTGTCAAAAGGATTCGGAAAAACGAAATAATACTAATAATGAGAGACTTTAATGCCAAAGTTGGCAAAGGACCAAGTGGAAATTTAGTGTGATCCTTTGGTCTAGGAGAACGTAATGAACGCGGAGACCGTTTGATTGAATTTGCAACTGAAGAACAGCTCGTAGTGACAAACACCTTTTATGATCTTCCTCTAAGACGACTATATACGTGGAAATCTCCCCAGGATACTCCAGAACACACAGTACGAATTCAAATAGACTATATTCTTGTTAACAAACGATTTAAAAACTCTATAACATCTGTTAAAGCATACCCGGGATCCGACATAAATTCGGACCACAATCCACTTGTTGCCAAAATGAAACTTAGTTTAAAAAAAAGTTCAAAGACCAAAAATTACGAAGTACGATATTAACCAACTGAAAAATAAAACAGTAAAGGAATAGGTACAAAAACGCCTAAAAGAAAAAAACGTGGGCTCGTACAGAAAAACCGTGGGTTCGTACAGAAAAACCGTGGGCTCGTACAGAAATAAATAACACATATGTAGAACTAGAAAATTTGCACAAAGTAAGTCAAGAAATAACAGAGAAATACTTAAAACCAGAAAGAACAAAGAAAAAGGAATGGATGATGGAGGAGATTCTATATATGATGGAAGACAGAAGAAACGCTAAAGATAATAAGAATTACTACAACAACATAAATAAGGAAATAAAAAGGGCTATTAAAATAGCAAAAGAAAATTGGTTTAGCTCGAAGTGTACAGAGATAGAGTCATTACAATGAAAACATAATTCATTTAACATCCATAAAAAAATTAAAGAAGCGGCAGGCTTATATAAACACAAAAACACTGGATTCCTGACAGATAATCAGGGAAACATAGTACTGGAAATAGAGCATAAAAGGGATATTTGGATTAAATACGTGGAAAAAAAATTGAAGATGTACGAAGTAACACTGGTATCACAACAATTTACAGTCAAAGAAGTAAAATATTCCATTAAAAGCACCAAAGATGATAAAGCGGTAGGCCCTGATAATTTTCACTCAGAATATTTTAAAACTTATGGACTATGATGGCATAAAATGGTTGACAAATATATTTAACAATATATATGATACAGGCATAATTCCCCAAAATGGTTAATGTCAACTTTTATAAATCTTCCAAAAAAACCCAATGCGAGAAAGTGCGAAGACTATAGAATTATAAGCCTTATGAGCCATTTACTTAAAACATTTCTAAAGGTCATTCACAAAAGAATATATACAAAATGTGAGGAACAACTAACAAGAACACAATTCGGATTTTGTGATGCTCTGGGAACACGGGAGACCCTTTTTGATGTACAGATACTATTTCAGAGATGCAGGGATGTGAATTGTGACATATATGTATGCTTTATAGATTACCAGAAGGCATTTGACAGAGTAAAACATGACAAATTAATGACTCCAATGCAAGAAATTCGAATTGACAACAAAGATCTTAGAATTATTAGAAACATTTACTACAATCAAATAGCCAAAATCAAAATAGAAGACCAGTTAACTGATAAAATTGCAATAGAACGTGGAGTACGACAGGGCTGTATTTTGTCTCCATTGTTGTTCAATATTTATTCTGAATGGTTATTTAAGGAAACTTTAGACGGTTGTGCGAAAGGAATACTAATAAACGGTGAATGGTTGAATAACATTAGATATGCAGATGACACTATAGTTTTTGCCGATAATCTGAATGACTTACAGATATTAACAAATCGCATAACAGAAGTCAAGAGATACGGAGTAGCTCTTAACATAAAGAAAACCAAATTTATGACAATTAGTAAAAAACCAATATTAAACGCTCAACTTACAATCAACCAACAGAATATCGAAAGAGTCGAGCAATATAGATATCTAGGCACCAATTTAAATAGCCAATGGGACCATTCAACAGAAATTAAAAAGCTAATAATAAAAGCAAAAGCAGCATTCGTTAGAATGAGAACCATTTTCAACAGTCGAGACATATCACTAAAAACAAAATGCCGTCTATTGAACTGCTACATATTCACAGTTCTGCTCTACGAAATGGAAGCGTGGACACTGACTGTTGCATCTATAAATCGGCTCGAAGCTTTCGAAATGTGGTGTTATAGGCGCATCTTACGTATATCCTGGGTTGACAGAGTTACTAATGTGGAGGTACTGCGAATGGGGAAAGAATGTGAAATTCTCAAGACCGTCAAAACTAAAAAGTTGGAATATCTAGGACATGTAATGAGAAATCAAGAACGTTACGGCCTTCTCCAGCTGATTCTCCAAGGGAAGGTAAATGGTAAGAGAGGACCGGGAAGAAGACGCATTTACTGGCTTCAAAATTTATGAAAGTGGTATAACACTTTAAGTTAGTTAAGTGGATAGGCACTTTAAGAAGAAGATACACTTCTGGAGTAATTCAGCGGCGGCTCTTGGCCTAAAAAAGTGGTGAAGATAAGAAAAGCTTGCCGGAGCCAAAAGGAGTTTTGCCCAAATCTCATTAAAAATTCGTTAAAAAAATGTATAGTTATATAAAAACTAAACTAATAAATACTATACTATACACTATACTATATAAAAAATGTCTATATAATGGACTAAATTTTAAAATATCGTCGCTGCGAATACTAAATAGGTACCCATGCAAGTAGTGGCCAGTGGGTGAAGCCCTCAACTTTCTCCTCAAGCTTTTCTCAACTATCACTAGCGGCAGGCTGACGTCACGTTGCCATGGCAACCGTGAACGCTTGTGCAGATCGATTGCGCATTTCAAAAATGATATTCACCTTTGCCTGAATCTAAATCATACACAGCAAAAATATATTTTATGTTGTTTATATTATGTTGTCTTTTACTAAGTCATTTTTGTAGGTGTGGTATCAGGCTTACTAAAAATAAATTATTAGTTAACTTTTTAACTCATAATTTATTTATTCTTCATTCTGTTACTTAATATTGGTAACAATTTTATCATGTATTCTTTTCATTATCATTAGTTCTGCTTCATAAAGATTCGGATTAGCTTTCGCTGTAAACAAAAATGATGTAATGAATATTGATACACAGATTATAAGGAACTCTTACCTGACAAGACACAATATATAAGTCAAATTATTTGTAAACTCAGAAATTTGCTCGTAATAAATTTTTAACGGTAAAATAATATAAATAGAACGTAGATTTAATATTTGTTTTATAATATTTTAAATTATATATATTTTTAGACTGAATTTGGAAAAATTGGTATTTCGTTTAGCTGTCATCATCCACTAAATTCATTGATATTTGGAGTTAATGGAGCAGAAATAGTTTTTAATCCATCAGCTGCCGTAAGTACATGTATATATACATAAGTTTGTGACTACAATTGACATTAAAAACATCATTTATTCATCAGTAAAAACATACCAAAATGTCTAAGTAACACAAAGTTTCTCATATATAAATAAAGTTTGAATTCGATTTTAAAAAGTTACATGCCGTTATAACGCCTGATTAGTTAGCAATAAACTCATCTTAATTTAAGTGTAATATAATCCAACCAAAGTTAACAAGAGCACTCATTTAATGGAAATTTTCAACATAAAAGTCAATACCAAACATAAAAATTTAACAACAAATGTGTTTAATAATATATGTTGAATAATCTGTGTTTCAACATTATGCATATGGGGAACAATCCGTCCCTAAATCATATCCCATTCATGCTCGATGGGATTAAGAATTGGAGATAGTGCTTGTCACGGTAAAAGTGTAATACCCTCATTACGAAACCAATATCTTACCATTGCTGTAGTATTGGCAAATCAGGACCAGCAGCAGTGTCAAATAGAAGGATAACAGATTCTAAGATACGATTGTTCTTCTTCTTCAAGTGCCCTCTCCGCTACGGAGTTTGGCAATCATCAATGCTATTCGTATCTTTGAAGCTGTTGCTTTAAATAATTGGTTAGATGTGTAATGGAACCAGTCTCTTAAATTGCGCAGCCAAGATATACGTCGTCTCCCCACGCTTCGTTTGCCCTGAATCTTTCCTTGGATAATTAACTGGAGCAATTGGTACTTTTTCCCTCTCATCACATGACCAAGATATTCCACCTTTCTTCTCTTGATGGTGATCAACAGCTACCGTTCTTTGTTCATTCTTCGAAGAACTACACTATTTGTTATTTTGTCTGTCCAAGGTATTTTCAAAATTCTTCTATATATCCACATTTCGAAGGCCTCTAGATTATCGGTATTGCTATTGTTTAAAGTCCAAGTCTCTACTCCGTACAACAGTATCGAAAAGATGTAGCATCTAACCAATCTCATTTTCAGGTTTAAGCTAATGCCATGACTTCCCAGAATGTCCTTCGTATTAACAAAAGCAGCTCGAGCCTTTCCAATTCTAGTTTTTATTTCTTCTGTGATGTCATTGTTCTTATTAACACTTGTTCCCAAATATTTATATTTGTGCACTCGTTCGATTTCGTTATTATGAATGTACAGGTTTGCATTCAATCTTTGAGTCTTTGAAATAATCATGAATTTCGTCTTGTTGACATTCATTGTTAACCCTTTTTCTTCACTAGCTATGACTACCTTGTTTAAAATGGCTTGAAGGTCTTCTACTGTCTCCGCCATTAAAACCATATCATCTGCGTATCTAATATTATTAATTGGTTGGCCGTTAACTTTTACCCAAATCTCTTCTTCCTCCAATGCTTTCTTCATAATTTCTTCCAAATAGAGATTAAATAGAATTGATGACAGCACACATCCTTGTCTAACTCATTTTTGATTTGAATTTCATTTGTTGTGCTATTTTCGATGCGTGCGACTGGCTTTTGATTATAATACAGAGTAGATATTATTCTTATATCGCGAGTATCTAACTGTTTAGCTTTCAAGATCTGTAAAAGTTGGTCATGCTTGACGTTATCAAACGCCTTGTTGTAATTAATGAAACAAGAAAATACATCTTGATTCACATCCAAACACCTCTGTGTCAAGATATAAAGGCAGATAATGCTTCGCGAGTTCCATATCTCTCCCGGAATGTAAACTGAGTTTCTCCGATATCTTCTTCCAATTTCCTGTAAATTCTATTGTGAAATATTTTGAGGAATATTTTTAAGGTATGGCTCATCAGACTGATCGTGCGATGATCACTGCACTGCTTAGCATGTGCCTTCTTAGGAAGAGGGACAAAGGTTGATCTTAGGCATTCTTCAGAAATTATACCGTTTTCATAAATCTTGTTAAATAAGTCTTCTAACAAATGGATTCGATCTTCGTCTATCAACTTTAGTATATCCGCTGGTAGCTCGTCTGCAAAATTATCTGTTTCTATTGTTGATCATTTTTTAACTATCTAGTGAAAATAGAACGAATCATATTTGGCTTCCAAGTTTTCAATCTCCTTACATTTTTCTTGTAACCATTGTTTTTTAGCGTCGCGGATTTGTCTTTTGATCTCGAGATACGATTAATATATTGATATTGATACAAAATGTCTTTCACAAAAGATGGGAACAGTTTGATGATAAAAGATTATTCCAGCCCACATCATAATTTGTAGACCACTATGGAATGAACGCTCTCTACATGCCTGAGTTCCTCTTGTTGATCAGCTTCTCTCCAAGCTCTCAATTTTCTTGAATCAGCTTCCTAAAACCTAGCTTCCTCTGTGAATAACGCAGAAATCCATTCTTGTAAATACTAATGCACATGTTGTTATGCTCACCTCATGTTATGCTGACCCATGATATAAGGAAACAAGGTATGCTTACTAGGTGGACTCGTTTTTGCACATTTCTGCGCCGACCAAAATCCACCATCTTTTAATATGTTACATGCGTGTAGGGATGGTGACCTGATCCCGTACCAGTTACTTTGGAACATGTATTTTATTTATACTTGTGGAACTTATCCATAACACCAATATATTTTAATAAACGAGTACAGGTCATGGACGTATAAATAAATATCTTTATTTATACGTCCATGGTACGGGTACTGTACTCATAGTAAGTGTAAGTGAGCATACCTGACCTGATCCACAAAAATACTTGGATCAACCACCTCTACATGCGTGACGTCTGATTTGTTTACTTTTGCATTTTTAACCTTACTTTGCAATGTATTGGAATTTAAAAGTAAATGTGTTTTTGTTTTGTTTCGATTTTTTAAAAATTATTTTAGCAAGGGTCTGTTCAGATCATTCTAAATATGAATTAATTGGAATAATGTATAATATTAATTTTATTTTATTTTATTTAACTACGATATTTCGTATCAATTTTGTACATATTTGAATTGCCGCCTTCAAAATGGCGGATTTTGGTCGTAAACGCGATTGGCTGTTCAAAAAAGATGCGCGTGAGCATACCATGTTTCCTTATATCATGTGCTGACCTTAATCTGAGTCCATGATTTCGATGCCGTAAAATGGGAACCCTCAATTGACATCTGTCGTTCAAACCAGTTTCATGTAATCAATTTCTAAAAGATTGGCCGCATACAGTAATGTTGTGGGTACTTTTTCGACTAGCTACTCCTATCACATACCGATCCTGTCGAGGGGTAGTCCAGTAGACCAGCCTCAGTCATATTCACAGCTCTTATCATTTGAAAATTTGTTTAATACCGACCCTCCATAACTATTATTGCGTTTAATAATCATGTCTCAATAAAATTTTAATTCAAAGACAGACTATCTTTTAAATTTGAAGCATTTTTCTTTACAATTTGAAGCAGTTAATCGTACGAATTTGAGGCGCTATAACGTTTACCTTAAGTGCAATTGACTGAGTAATTTTCATGACATACCTTGATTTGTGGAGAGCAAATTTTCAAATCGGTTTTTATTCATTAACAAAAAAGATTTTATTGAAAAAAGAAGAACAGTAGTAGTGATGATTTTTAGACATTTTTTGATATGTGCACATTTTCACTCTGTATACTATATTGAAATAATACGCAATATAAATAAAGTAAAATTGTATTGTATCTAAAAGTGCATTGATACAATTTTCAAAATTGGTTCTATTCTGTTTCGACTGTTTTCCAGTGAATACCAAAATATGACTTAAACTTAGAAAAGATATATCACAATGGACCGCAGGAGTCTGACGTCATGACTGTCACATTGACATTATTACTTTCCAAACAAAAGTTGAAATGTCAAATCTCAAGACTTTTTAATTTCTATAAAGTTAACATTTTGCTTCCTCTGCTGCTTTTTCTTGTAAGCATAGTGTTTTTTACGATAATACAATCATAATTCAGAGTTCTATTTCTATGAAATATAGTTTAAAAGTTTAAATAAAGAAATTGTAACCTTACTTTATTGATACATGCATTTTATTGCTATTAACATAAAACAATGTGCTTTATTATTTACACAACCTTGTAAAATTGTTATAGTAACTATTAGAATACTTAAATATTGCAATAAGCGGAAAGATTCTATAAAATAAATGAAAAAATAAGGAAAAATAAAAATTATCCACACTAAACCAGGTTTGTTTAGAAAGTGAAACTGACGTATGTCAATAAAATCTACGTCATCACTCCTGTGGACCGTGCAAGTACGGAACAGCGACACCTGGTGTCGCAAATCAGCAAAAGTTACTGCGCTTTCATGTTAGATCGGATAACTGTCCGGACGTAGCCCCAAAAAAGAATAAGAAAAAGTAAGATTGAGGTTATGTCGGTATGTTATTAAAAGGTAAACGTTGTATGTAGTGTAAATACAAATAAATATATTATTAAATTACAGCATTACTGTTAATATGGATGCAATAATAAAAACTGGATTTGAGAAAGTAAATCACCAAATAACTTTTCAACCAAGCACTGAGTCAAATGGAAAAGCTTTAGTAGTGGCAAATGTCAAACAAGAATGGAAGAATTATGTGGAAGAATTAAGAAAAATAAATTACCATAAATAATGCTAATGCATAAATTAGCAGGTTAAGCCCATGATATCATCATAATGGTTTGAACAATTAATTCTTTCCCTGTAAACTTTTGGACAGCGAATATATCTTAATGCATCTTCAGAAAAACTTGAACTTGATGCATTTTTGTAAACTTCAAAAAAATTAAATTTAAACGTTAAAACTTGATTTTTGGGTTAAAATGAACTTTAAGTGAGTGTTATGAAACTAAAATTTATACTTAAAAGTGAACTTTTATTTATTATTTATTTCAAACTGACTTTAAAATCGGGCGCAAGAATAATGCATAATTTAGGTTATGTTACTTATGCTTTTTTATGATATAAATCCACTTTTCTCTTTGTAGTAATTTGTGCTTCGAAGTTGGAAACGAATAAAACTTA